ATAAATTTTATTCAACATTTTACTGCAGGTCCTAGACAGTGCAATAAGACAAGAAAAATAAAAGCCAAATATATTAGGAAAGAAGAAGTAGAACTACCTTTATTAGCTGATGACATCATCATGTATGTAGAAAATTGTAAAGAATGTAACAAAGTGCTACCAGAGTGCATAAATAAATTTATTGAGGTCACAGGATACAGTCAATATATAAAAGTAAATTGTATTTCCCTATGTTTACAGAAATCAAGCTTAATGTTTTTAAAATTTTTTCAATAACACACAAAAATATAAATAATACTACAAAATATAAAATACTTAGATATACATTTATTTAAATATGTACTAGGCTTCTATGCTAATAAACTACAAAACTTTTTGGAGAGAAGTAAAAATTTAAATAAATGAAGAGTAAATCATTTTTGGATTGTAAAAATATAGTTAGGATGCTAATGCTTTGAAAATTGTTTTCTAAATGCAGTTCAACATCAATCAAAATTCTAGCTGCCACTTTTGTAGAAATTGACAATTAGATTTTAAAATTTATGTGAAAATACAAAAGACTTTATTATTATTTATTTTTATTTTTTTGAGATGGAGTCTCACTCCATCACCCAGACTGGCTGGAGTGCAGTGGTGCCATCTTGGCTCACTGCAACCTCCGCCTCCCGGGTTCAAGCAATGCTCCTGCCTCAGCCTCTCGAATAGCTGGGATTACAGGCGCATACAAACATGTCTGGCTAATTTTTCTATTTTTAGTAGAGATGGGGTTTTACCATGTTAGCCAGGCTGGTCTCGAACTCCTGACCTCAAATAATCCACCCACCCCTACTCCCAAAATGCTGGGATTACAGGCATAAGCCACTGCGTCCAGTGGCAAAAGACTAAATAGCCAGAACAATTTTGAAAAGGAAGAGATTTAAAGTTGAAGAAATTCTATTACTCAATTTTATGACAGTAGAAAGCTGAACATAATCACAATAGTGTGTCATGTTAGTGTAACATTGGAAAAATATATCAGTATAACAGAAAAGAAAATTCAGAAATAGACCCAGACCTAAATGGTTAGTTGATTTTTCAGGAAAGGACCAAAGCAATTTATTGGGGAAGGAATTTATCTATATACAAAATAGATGAAACTTGACTTATATCTCACATCATATACAAAAATTAATTTCAGATGGTCTATGGACCTCAATGTAAAAGATAAAACTAAAAATCTTCTATATTGAATCTCAGAGAATTTTTTCACACCATTAAAGTGATCAAAAATTTCTTAGGACACAAAAAGTACCAACCATAAAGGAAAAATAACATGGCAAAATGGACTTTATTAAAATTAAACATATCTGCCTTTCAAAATACAACATTATAAAGTGCATATTAAGACATAAACATTGACAAAATAGTCAAAAGACTGAGGCAAGGCGTAGTGGCTCACGCCTGTAATTCCAGCACTTTGGGAGGCCTAGGCGGGTGGATCACCTGAGGTCAGGAGTTCAAGGCCAGCCTGGCCAACATGATGAAACTCCATCTCTACTAAAAATATGAAAATTAGCTGGGCATGATGGCAGGCACCTGTAATCCCAGCTACTCGGGAGGCTGAGGTAGGAGAATTGCTTAACCCCAGGAAGTGGAGGTTGCAGTGAGCCGAGATTGTGCCACTGCACTCCAGCCTGGGCAACAGAATGAGACACTGTCTCAAAAAAAAAAAAAAAAAAGACTGATACTCAAAATATAAAAATGTATAAACAACCCTTAATCCTCAATATTTGAAAGATAAATGACTCAGTTTTTTTAATGCACAAGAAACTCAAACCGGAACTTAATTTTAAAAATACTCAAATGGTCAAAAGCACACGAAAAGTGTTCAACATTAGTCATCAGGAAAACATAAATAAAACCATGAGATAATATCATGCACTGACTAGAATGGCTAAAACAAAAGAGACTGACAGCACCAGATGTTGCTGTGGACCTGAAAGGAGTGCAAAATGGTAGGATCAGTGGGAAACCAGTCCAGCAATATCATAAAAGTAAACATACGCCTACACCAGGACCCAGCAATACCACTTTTAATGTGCACCCAAAAGAGATGAAAGCATATGTACATAAAAAGGCTTGTACAAGAATATTTATGGAAGCTTCACCAACAATAATAAATAACTATACAGAGTTCAGATGTCCATCAAAAGGAAATGAATAAACAATTAGTGACATATACATACAATGGAATACCATATAACAATAACATGTAACAAACTACGAAACGTGCCACAACATGAATCCACCTCAAAAACATAATACTGAATAGAAGAAGCCAGATATGAAGCAGTACTCTGTACGATCCCATTCAACTGAAGTTTTGAAATAGGCAAAACTAATCTCTGATGAAAAAAATATATGACTTAAGTCTTTTTTCTTCTTACCACCAAGAATGCCAATGTAAAACCCTTAAATACGCGCGCGCGCACACACACACACACACACACACACGCCACAACCTTCCGATAGATGATACCAAATGTGACTTAGACTTCTCCTTCACTGAGATGCAGAAATTTGATTTTTCCCCTGCTAGTACAGAATCCTATGTACCCAAGAAAGCAAACTGTAAATCAATACTCACGAGTTAAAGGTGACATTTCAACAACTGTACATCCTGGAGCCTCTCAGGATCTCAGGATCATTTTGTTCCTGTCAAATATCTAACTTTTTAAATAATTTATGAGCATTGAACTCCACATCTTACAATTCCAGGATGAACTGTCTTCATTTTAGATGTGTATGTTGTCATTCAAAGAGCCAGTTATTTATTCATTAAATATTATTGGACATGTACTATGTGCCAGGCACTAACTATATTGAGCAGTGTGGATTTAATAGTGGAAAAGGTAGTCACAACCTAGACCTGAAGCTTATATGGGGAGGAAAAGAGAATAAACATCAACTTATGGGTTGTACCAATAGTTGTTCTTTTTTTTTTTTTTTTTTTTTTTTTTTTTCTGAGACAGGGTCTCACTTTGTCACCCAGGTTGGAGTACAGTGGCGTGATCTCTGCTCACCGCAACCTCTGCTTCCTGGGCTCGAGTGATTCTCCAGCCTCAGCCTCCCAAGTAGCTGAGAATACAGGTGCATGCCACCAACGCCCAGCTAAGTTTTGTAGAGACAGGGTTTTACCATGTTGCCCAGGCTGGTCTCGAACTCCTGAGCTCAAAGCCATTGGAACACCTCAGCCTTGCAAAGTGCTGGGATTACAGATGTGAGCCTGTGCCAGGCCTAATTTTTACATTTTAATTGTAATGATTGTTAAAAAAATAAAAATGAAAATAATTGGACAGCATAGGCTTCTTATGTGAACATTTACCAAGAAGATGTGATCTTGTCTTGGATGAATGGAGTCAGAATAGAGATCAAGGAGGGCTTCCAGGACGAAGAAGCTTTTGAGGTGGGCTTTGAATGGTGAACAAAGATATATCTGGAGGGTGCTAACATTTAAGATGCCGTGAGAAAACTCCTCATTGAGGAAAGCAAAGATACAGAGTGAGTCTGATGAAACTAGCAAGGTCTGTAATAAGCAGGGCTCTGTTAGGAATTTTGGCTTGATCAATAAATAAAATCAGTGGGGAAGCTATTAAGGAATTTGCACTATGAAGGGATATGACCGTCTGGTTACAGTGTGTAGAATAGACTGGAAAGTATGGCTACAAGCAGTGGGGAGACCAGCTTGAAGACAATAATAATAAACAAGTGTCCCTATTAATTTCCAAGGAGAGATGTGCTCTGAACTTAGATAGCCCTACTTGGAAGAATTAGCAAATACATGGCACTGCTTTGTGGACAAAAAAACAGAAATCTAAGCAGATGTCACCTTTTTAGCAGAAAAAGTGAAAGAAGAGTGAGAAGAAGAGAGGACATAAGAATAAACAGACCCCAGAAGACAAACATCTAGGATAAGCTATGCGCCAGTTTTTCTTTTAAATTTTTATTTAGATTTAGCAATTAATAAGAGCTCATTCTGCCTCAAAAGTGCACCAAGGGCTTTATATTTATCACAGAACTGGAGGTTTAGAGAGGTAGAGTAACTTACTCAGGGTTACAAAATCGGTAGGTGGCAGAGACAAAGCTTGAACCAAGGGCTCTCTAGTGTGAAATGATGCCTCCTCACACTACATGATGTTCCTCTTTAATGGTTACCTCCTGCCCTTGGAGTTCTCCATTACTCCAAGCCCATTATATTTGGAACAGTTCAGAGTTCTTCTATACTTCGCCATGGATACATGAACCTTAGCCCTAATGGAGCCTTAGAAATTAAGTAGGTCAATCCTCTACTTTTATAAAAGGATAATGTGAGATTTAGGGATATGCTGGGTTCCACCCAGGGCCCCTCAACAAATATTGGCGAGTGAGGTACAGAACCCGTAGTCTTCCATTAAACTATACCTTTTGTTCAGCTGATCCATCCTCTTTATAGATTTGGGGATTTTGCAAACCCCAAATTATACTGTTTGTAAGTTATACTGAGCCTGGGGTAGCTTGATAGAGAAGGGCAGTTCTTAAGCACTGGTCTGTAAACAGAGTAAACATCAAAATGACTTGGAGAAAAGGAGGTTTAAGTCTAGACAATTATTTGGTCTAGTTCTCTTCTCCAATGGGAGGAAGAATTACTGCTATATATATATTTGAATATTTTAGAACTTGTAGCTGTACTCATAGTTTGACAATTCAGATTCCTTGGGGCAAAATACCTTCTACTAAAGCAAGAGTGATTCTTTGGATACCTACAACTTCAATGCAGATAGGAAAATTTAATTTCACAAACAGTAAAATAACAACCTCCATTAGGTAGAACACTGCACTAGTTAATATTTCCAAAAGGGAAATTCACATTATTTATGCTTTAAATTATACATCAGTACCCAAAAGAAAGCATAAACTACCTAGAAGATATTGGATGATCTAGCCTTGTGTAATTAAATGCAATTAATTTGTAACTATTCCAGATTCTGGAACTGTTTGAATTTCTCGGCAATTCTTGGCACAGAAGCATCCACGCTGATCCCAACTGGGAGAGGTCTTTTCTGGGTAGGAGGGACCCAGATTTGGCAGCAGCAAACTTGAAACTCAAGGGAGACTCTTCACATTCCCAAAAGAAGTCTTGGGGCACCACCACGCCTATGGTGAACAAGGGTGCTTATTCAAAATGCCAAAGCGTGATGATTTTAAGAGGATTCTCCTCTTTCAATAATCTCTGGGTACACTTGGAAAGAAATTTTACCTTCTGTGTTGTAATTGAATAGATTTTATATTTTTAAGATAAAGAACATTCAATTTTACAACCCTAAAAGGAAAGTGTACAGGCTGCTTTCTCTAATTCAATCTTAAAGCTCTTCTCTTTGATGAGGAGCAGATACTGTTTAATTTCTGACCCACCAATATGTCTTCCCAGCCTATAGAGAGACGGGGGTGCTTTCTATCTCCTTCCCGTTTACCACCGTAACTTCTTCCCTGACTATATTCTCCACTGTGGACAAATTCAGAGTTGTGACTGGGAAACAAAATTCCTGGAGGTATTTAAAAAAAAAAAAGTCAGGGTAATGCAATGTGTGGAATTTGGATTAAGCTCTGAAATGTTTTTAATTCCATCTCCACTGCTCACTATTTGTGTGATATTAATGAAGTAAATAACTTCTCTGAACCTCAGTTTCTCCATTGAGGTAAAATTCTTTCAGGGTTATCATGATGATAAAGTGAGACTCCTACAACGTAATAGGTATCTAGCATAATCCCTGGCAACAAGTTGAATCCCACGATTATTCCTTCCATTTAAAAAAAAATTAAACCAACCCCCATGTATCGTTTCATAAACCTAGAAGAGTCCACTTATTTTAGATCAGACACTGTGAGAACTTAAAAGGAAAGATAGAGAAGAAGTTTGAGATAGGCTTTGAGCAAAAACAAGAGACAACCAACAATAACAGGGCATTTGCTATAATCATTTCTGGAGATCTTTGCTGCATAATGCGGGTTCTTCTTGCACAACAGCCAAACATGAATTTGACAAATGAAATGACTGTTTTGGTCTGCGGTAGGTCAGAAAACAACAGTAGACCAGAAGGCCATGAAGGGGATTTAAATTGGGTAAATCTTTCAACCTCTCCTGACAAGTTAAGTATAGTTGGCCTTGATAGAAACTGCCAACAGCAACTTCTGAGTTTCCAATGTCCCCCCACACTGGTGGACACCTGGGATGTTCAGAGGCATTACTGTGTTTGTTTTGGATGTGGAAATACATGGAAATAGAATGAGATCTTCCTGAGATTCTTACACATAATCGTTTCTTGAATTTCACTAAATTATGGAGTAAGGTTTATTTTGGAGCCTGCAACCCCAGATAATGAGGTCATAGCCCCAATTTAAACCAGAGACCAAAGCCAGACTTTTATAGCTTAGATGTAACACATTCAGAAAACACACACACACACACAGCAGATAATATATATTATGTATTTCTTAGAGTCAGTATTTTGCTCTATTTTCTTCCTTTGGTTTCCACACACACCCTCAAAATGCCTGCTATCACTCACACCCCTTAATAGTGACAGACATACATGTGATCTCAGGGAGTAGTGCATTTCTGTTGTTTGGTGATGAGGAACTGGGCTGTCCCCACTCAACTCCATGATATCAAGATGAGGAAATCAATGCCCAAAACAGGAGTGAACAGCTCCCATAATAAACTGAAGAGGGAGTACTGCTATTAATAATAGTTAATCATTATTAATAATAATGATAATGATCATAACAATAACAGTAGTGGGACTGCTTACTGAGCACATTCTAAGCACCATGGTGACAGCTTGCAGACATTTTATTGTGTAATTCTCATAATAATCCATTTATTGTCACCATTTTACGGATAAGGATACTGAGGCTGAGAAGGTGGTCACATCACCGTAAAGTAACAGGGAGGGAGTTGGAACTCCTGTCTGTAAAGTCTTTTAACAACCACATGAGTTTAGGTTAAGGATGAGTTCCACAGATAGTCACTCCCTTATTCAAAAGTTATTTATTACATGTTGACCCCGTCGCTGGGACTAGGATAGATGATAAGAACACAAAGATGAATTAGACTCAGTGGTTTCCCCAGTGTTGCAAATGAAGAACAGCTTGTGAGGAACAGCTGGCAGTTGGTGTGGTGAAGAAGCTGTGAGAGGTTGGGAGCTGTGACTGAGGTGATTGAAGCAGTGGGCCAGGTTCCATCAGAGAGGACCTTGTGACTGCAGCTATGGAAGTTTACCTGTATCCTCTACACATGTCAGGGGTTTAAGTCATGTTGAGGCAGAATTGGATTCAAATTCTAGAACAGTATCTGACTCTAGATCATGAGTTAGTCTGGAAGAGTCCAAAATTGGAGACAGGAAGTCTATTTAGAGAAGCACTGGAATGGTCCAGGCCACAGAGGGCTTGAGTTGTGGCCACTATAACTGAGATAGTGAATTCATAAACTACTTATGAGGTTGAATCAGCAAGACTTGGGAATATTGGGGATTGGTTAGATGTGAAGAGGGAAGGAGAGAGAGGACTGCAGTAACTCTTATAATATGGCTATAGGGACATAAGATGGTCCTGAGACCATTCCATCGAAGAGTAGAGTTTTTGAAGCGTGGAGAAGTAGAACAGTTGAAAGGGAGTATACTGTTCCTCTCTGCTAACACCTTGATTTCCTGTCCACTCCTGGAGTCCCACTTCATCACTGTTCCCTCAGAAGTCCAGAACTTCATGAACTAAAACAGAGGCTTTTCTCTCAACTCTTGTGGTTGGTCATAATCCAGCTCTAGAGCCAAACATGACCCTCATCCTCAGAGGAACTAGGGTTGTACAGCCAGACTTTGTCTCCTACAGTGCTACCTGTTTTCTTCCAGCTTCCAGGTGCTGTGGTCTCTAGACAGTTGAGTCATAATTTCCCAGTATGGGAGGTTGCACCAAACACCTCCTTTTTAATAAGCTACCTTTAACCTGGATGTGTTGACATTCTGCCTTGTTATTCTTAATAATGTATGAAGGTGTCATTTGAAGTTTGCTTTACCACTGGACTACCTATAACAGACTAGCTTTTTGGGCTAACTTCTGATTAGCCTGGATAGAAGTCATTTTGGCATGGTATTATCATGGGAGTTTAAATCCCTGCTCTCTGTAGGCTCTTAAGACCCTCAACATTTCAGCCCATGGAGTCTTTTCTACTTACTGGCATGAATGAGAGCTGGCTTGGTGGACACCTCCAAAATGAAGACCAAAACTTCTAATAGAATATCCTTGCCCCCATTCCCTAACCCTGTAGCAACCCAGATAATTGTGTTAGACTTTCTGTGTGACCCCTTGTCTTTTGCTTTCCTCCTCCTCCTCAGAGGTGAGTCCAAACTTTGCACAAAAGAAAAAGCTACTAGGTGTTGCCCAGCAGCAGAAAATAGACCTATAATATGAGCTGTGGGGAGCAAAACTTAATGGACTGCATTCACTCAGAACTGCTAGAGCCTGCAGCTGCAGAATTTATAGAATCAACACACACACGCTGAGCTGCGCTGTAACACACACACAGCTATCACGAAAGAAACTCAGAGAAACTGACAAGTGTCACTACCCAGCTCGGTGGCTCCAAAGGATCAGGATTTGCAAACTTCTGCATCCCCCTCACAGTCTATGTTCTAGCCCCAGTGAACCACTCTAGCTCATACCCTGAGAATGCAAGGATTTCTTTTTCTTCCAAGTATAGGCATGCACTTCTCCCCTTACTAGCTAACCTTTCCCATCTTCTCATCTAAGTTTAAGAATAATTTATTGGGAGAAATATTCCCTGGTACCTACAAGTTAGATTAGGTGTCCCTGCCCAAGTTCCAAGTATATGTGATATGGTCTGGCTCTGTGTCTCCACCCAAATCTCATCTTGAATTGTAATCCAAATTGTAATTCCCACGTATTAGGGGAGGGACCTCATGGGAGGTGATTAGATCATGGGGGTGGTCCCCCCATGCTGTTTCTCTCCTGCCGCCATGTGAAGAAGGATGTGTTTGCTTCCCCTTCCACCATGATAGTAAGTTTCCTGAGGCCTCCCTAGCCACGCAGAACTGTAAGTCAATTAAATCTTTCCTTTATAAATTGCCAAGTCTTGGGTATTTCCTCATAGCAATGCAAAAAATGACCTAATACAATGTCGTAGTGCTTTCTTTCCCTGTATTCCAATAATCATTTTATCTTTCTGTATGACTAAACTTTAAACTTAAGGGCCAAAACTTTCATCTTCATATCCCCAGCAGTTCGTACATGTACTGCATACAGTACTTAATAGAGGTGAAGATGGTAATGAAGGAATAGGCAGTTGCCTCTGCTCACCATTCTCAGTTAGCATGAAAACAGGAAGAGAATGTAATGTTCTTTCCGAAAGGCCCACTCTGTTAGGTTTTTCTACTAGGGTGACTCCAGCCAGGACAGAGAAAGAAACCTTATCTAGCACTTCCCCAGTCGTAATGGGCTCTTCACTGTGCTCCAAAAACTATGACTCTTCCGGGGCCTAGGAAAACACTGACCTCACCTAGAACAGAAACCTCCAATTGGGTATTGTGAGGTATGCCTCAAAGAAGACCCAGGCATTCCTCCCGCAGATAATGAATGTGCTTTTCAGGCCAAGGCTTTGGAGAGAAAGCCTCACCACCACTTCCTGTCTCTTCATGTTCTACATTCAATCCCTGGGACACCATTGCCCATTTTACAAGCCAGCTCCTGCACATCTCCCAGGCACCAGCCTGTTGGTGCAATCCTGAAACTCACTGGACTGGCTGCCCCAATCTCCACTAGTGAAACGAAGTATGCCATGTCTTAAGGATGCGCACCGCCTGCCAAGTTGAGAAAATGGGGAGGTGCATTCAGATTTTAACCTCCCTGTTTACCCTTTTTCTGGTGCCTCTAAACCAGGATTCACTAATACTGCTTTACATGCAAGTTTTCAAAATCACATCTGTCTCTTTCCTTGATTGTGGTGGCAGGAATTCTTTTCCCCCATTCAGAACTCTCCCAATACTCGCCTCTTTAATTGGAGAACACCCTTCAGGTTTCACTGTAGTCACAATACAACGTCTTTGATATTAAAGGTCAGTGCAAAAATCATTGCAGTTTTTTACCATTACTTTTAATGGCAAAAACTGCAATTACTTTTGCACCAACCTAATATTAGGGTCTACCTCTTCTCTAAGGCTCTTGAAGGCGCAAAACAAGTCTTACTTTTCCTTATCATCCTGACAGGAATCTAGTACCAGAGGCTTATACGTATTTGGCAAGTAGTACATATTTGCAAAAAGAAATGGAGTGGAATTACCTGGAATGAATGGATTCATTAAATGAGGCATGGTTTGGCACACCACACATTGGCAAAAGAATGCAGTATTCAACAAGCGTTTATAGTCTCTTTGATTCTTTTAGATGATTTCGATACTAATGTGCTTTTGATTCAGTAGTAAATGGAAGCAGAAGAAATGCAAATGCACATAGAAATTATTGTGAACCATGAGAAAATCACTAGAATGGCTAAAAAGAAAAATAATGACAGCATCAAATGATGGAGAAGACATGGAGCCACTAGAACTCTCATACATTGTTGGTGAGAGTGTAAAATGGTAAAATCACCTAGGAAAATTGCTGAGTAGTTTCTCAAACAGTTAAACATATATCCACCTAATGACCTAGCACTTCTACTCTCAGGGGGATTGAAATGAAAACATGTAGGTCTAAAAAAAAATCTTATGAAAGAATGTTCGTAGCAGCTTATCTCATAACAGGCAAACACTGGAAAGAAGCCAAATGTTCATCAACAGAAAAATAGACAAACAAACTCTGATATATTTATACAACGGAATATTACTCTGCAAAAAAGGAATAAATTATATACATAAAACAACATATGTGAATCTCAGAAATGATATACAGAGTGAAAGAATCAGGCAACACAGAAGAACATAGTGTACAATGTCATTATATAAAATTTTAGAATTTCATAGAAGACTTGCCTACAGTGATAGAAATCAATTCAGTGGTTGCTTCTGGGGTGGAGAACTGACTGGAAATTGGCATAAGGGAACTTTTTGTGGTGGGGGAAACATTCTGTGTTCTGGTTGGTAAATGAGGTTACACAAGTATATGTGTTTGTCGAAATTTGAGTCAACAGCACACTGAACAGCATGTCATTGTATGCAAATTATACCTCAAACTAAGAAAGTCATTTTGGATGCTTTGTCTCTCAAGTCTCAAAGAGAAGTCTAGATTTTTAGGGCAGAAAGCAGGCTGAGTAAATCCTAAGGTCCCACTCATGGTGTAGATGAAGAAACTGAATCCCCAGATGGAGAAGTGACGTGTTCAATATCGCACAGACGTAGTGGCTGAGGCAGGACGAGAATGCAAGGCCCTTAATGTGCAAGAAGGTTGGAACCTCATCGAATGATCCTTTAGAATGGAAATACTTGGAATTATTACATTGGTACAAAAGTAATTGCAGTTTTTGCCATTGAAAGTAATGGCCAGAACCGCAACCACTATTGCAACAATCCAGTACTTCACCCCTACAGTCTCCTTGCTTAGACATTATCAGTTAATTGTCCTAGTGTGCCCTTATACCCACCCCCTACTCTGCTCCATACCATTCCACAACTCCTTATGGTATTTCACCAAGGTGGATGATTTCCTAAGCTTTATCTTCATGAATACTAGGGCAGAGCTGAACTAACTAGAGTAAACTAGAGTTGCATTCTCTCTAGATATAGGAGCTCTAGATTTTAGGTCATCCTAGGGCCAATGCAGAGACCCAAAAGAGAAACTCAGTGACTCAGAAGAAAGGTAGAGAAAACCCTGGTTACCAGAAATCAGGAAAGATATAATAAGATCAGATACAGAAGCCCAGGCTGCTATAGAGACTGGCCAGAGGTCACTGAGTTGGGCAATAAATGGAGCAAGGAGAGGAATCTGGCCATTCCATCCCATCACCTGTACAAACCAGACTGGGTTACTTGCTCTGTTCTAGACAGTATCTGTCTTACCAGACTCAGGCTCCTGGTGGGGACCTCCAATCCCATTGCTGGCTCTTTGCTCTTTACTTCAACCACATGTCACTTGGATACCCCAGAGAGTAGCAGGAAAGGATCAACCAGGTAAGATGTGGTCCCCAGACCCATCACCTCTCACCAAGGTACAAGAGGGATACTGTTTAACCATGACACTACTCTGAGACAAAAACCTAAATTTTTACTCTTAAAAAATCAGTTGTTAATCATCCCCCTGTGATCTCAATTCCTTGCATGTCAGCTTAGAAGGGATGCTTCTGGGTACTGGCTGATTTTGTTCCTTGGCTACTTCTTTTCAGACAATAAAGTCCTTGTTAGGGGAACCACCCCTATCTCCTTCACTATGGACTACTGTATGTCCACTCTTACTGAAGGTACAAATTGTGGGAAAGCAGGCCATATGCTCCCAGTTGAAATATGTCTCTTGAAGATACGTAACCTGACTATCAGCTGTGCAAGACATTGTGTAAGCTTCAAAGGGCCATCTCTTATACAATGCCAGACACTTAGTAGATGTCTTTTAAAAAAAATATTAGTCGAGTAAAGAATGAGTGAATATTTGCCTTCTGGCATCTGTGACATTTCATCTCAGTGTATTCTGGGCAAGAAAGCAATTGTTCTTTGAAGCCCAGTCAATCTGTTTCAGGGCACACATTGCCATACTGTGCATGGGTATAGCATGTAACTTCTCTGAGCCTCAGTTTACTCATTTTCTACATGAAAAATAATAATACTGAACTTAAAGTAGGGACTTGTAGCCTGGAGTCCATGGATCCTTAAAGGCACCTTAAGGTGCCCTTAAAATTGAATATTATTGTCTATATGTATGAATTTTTATGAGGGAAAGAGTTTTAGATTTCATCAGATTCGTTAACTAGGTCAGTAACTTCTTTAAAAAAAAGAGAGAGAGAATAAGAAACCACTGTGGCCTTAGATATTTTTGTGAAGATGCAGATAACGTATGTAAAGTGCCTGAGAAAGCTAGAATGCACTGCAGCTGCTACACAATCATCTGGCCTGTGTAGCAAGCTTTCTGAGCTTCGGAATGATTATTCCAACTCTTATGAGTCTGCAACCTTCAAAATAAGCCCTTTGAGTGGTCATCTAGATCATTCGAGGCAAATTCCCTGTTCTCTTCTGGACCCAGTTGCTTGTCTGTAACAAAACAGTTGTACCTGGTGTTCACCCGAACTTTGCAGATGTTAACATTCTGACTCTGTGCTCCCCACCTTCGATGATAGAAATAAAATTCAGGTGAGCATCAATGTATTTAGCTGTGTTTCATTTCCAGAGGGGTTAAGGAGAATGGCCTCTGCTTTTTACTTCCAAGAGAACTTAAGTTGGTTACCGGAAGTCAACTTCAGTGCAAAGAAAGGTCTGGGAACAGCGTATGGGAAGGGCATTCTCAGGATTGGGCAAGGAGCAAAGCAGACCAGGGCTTTTGGGTTCCTCCTTTGAAAAGAGGTGATGGAGTCAAAATTCCAGGTTTTGGAGGAGCAAAGCAGTTCAAAGGGGCAGAGTGCAGGTGGGGTCACCACTTCTCTGCTTCTTCCAATCTCTCAATCAGTTGAAAAAGGAAACTGAGATAAACACTCATGTTTGGAGGGCAAACCACCAATTTGCATAGATTTAGGCAGGAAAGAGCCCCTTTGGCGCCCTTCCTCTTTGGCTTGCTTCCAAAAGCTTTTGAAAAGCTTCTCTCATGTAGACCCCTACGTTAGGGTAAAGTTTTGAACCCACCCTCTGGTTAACTTTGGAGGAAAGAAGATAGGAGTCTGAAACACCCCTCCCATGCACTTCACAGTTACACCAAAGACCTGGTGTGACCATCTGGAGCAAATGCACAGAAAACCCACTCACCCTTGGCTAGTACTTAGATGAGTCCATTACCAAGCCAGGCGGAATTTCTCATGAAAGGAGGCTCTGGGTTATCCCAAGGAGTGGGTTCTCCATATGGGGGCTTCAGTTACTTATCTGGTTTCTACATTAACCCACCTCAAATTTCACAATTCCCCAAAAGGAGTTGAAACGTGACCCATTGCTATGTGTGAATATGGTTGGTTCCCACCCAAACTCATGTTGAAATGTGATCCCCAAGGTGGCAGCGTTGTGTTGGGTAGACAAATTCGTGGATGGCAGGAAGACCATAAGGCAATCAAAATGATGAAAGGACCAGGGTCTGATCATATTTATCAGGCTGGAATAATGGTAACATCTCATTAAAACTGATTCAAAAATAGATGCAAAACACCCCCACTTTGATTTAGAAGAAAAAACTTAAAACACAAAATAGGTTGGAGAAAAAAAGACTAAGCAGGAACATACAAGAGCTAAAAAAAAAAAAAAAAAAAGAAAAAAAAAGCCAGCAGTGTCCTAGTCAACAAGAATGGTCAATATAAAGCAAAGGTGATATCTGGCTGATGAAGATGTTAACACAGATTTGGGATGTATTAACAGAAGTTGATGTTCCAGTGCAACAGAGGTGATCATCTTGTCTTCCTCCTCTATGGTCAGCCCAGCCTTAAAGTCAGACCTAGTATGAGAGAAATTGCCAAACTGGCTCAATAGTACATTCCATGATAGGGACAGAATCAGAAGGAAATAAAGAAAGAAATTTCTGAAAATCGGAACCTTTCTACCTACAATAGGTTAACTGTCCTACCCTCAGAGGTCTCTAAGCATAAACTGAGTTGACCAAGGCCAGGCCTGGTGGCTCAAACCTGTAATCCCAGCACTTTGGGAGGCTGAGGTGGGAGGATCACTTGAGTCCAGGAGCTCAAGATCAGTCTCGGCAACATAGTGAGACCACATTTCTACGAAAAAAAAAAAATGCCAGACATAGTGGCAAGTGCCTGTAGTCCTAGCTACTGGGGAGGCTGAGGCAGGAGGATCACGCGAGCCCAGAGGGTCAAGGCTGCAGTGAACCATGATCACACCATTTCACTGCAGCCTGGGCAACAGAGTGAGATCTTGTCTTAAATAAATAAATAACACATTGAACAAAATATATTACAGGAGAAACTCCTAGATAAATTGGATATGAGAGATGCTGTGCACTTCCAGGGTGCTATGATTCTCCATTCTTTCTATGAACCTTAATGCTATGGCCAAGTAAGACAGTGTCCTACTAATGCCTTTCGTTGTGTTAGGGCAGGTTTAATTGCTTGTCAAACCAGTTGGTTTACTGGATGTCAAGCCTCCCTGGGGAGGCAAGGATTGTGCCAAGTTCTTTGCCATCCAGATGTTCAGGGGATGGAGCATTCCCTGGAGGGACCTACCCTACCCCACCCTAGAAAGCTGCTGGACCTTGGCATGTGAGAAAACCTGGGCTCCTCCAGATTTACATGGCGAGGGAGTGGGAGCTGCCCTACCTGCCAGTTCGGCTGCCCAAAGTCCCATCCTACACAGGTTTGATAGCTCCCTAGGAATAGACTTTGGCATGGGCCCCTAAAGTTGTCTGGTAGAGACATTCATATTGGGCACAGTCTATGGCAGCCCACCAGGCCTTACAGCACTTCTCTGGCTCTGGTGTTTGCCGTATCCTGTCTGCTAGATTGTGAGGTTCCCTAGGATAAATATAGATTAAAAGCCGACTTCCTCTGGGAAGCTTTCCAAAACTAGGCCCTCCCCCACAACCCCAGACGTGAGCTTCTAGCTCCAAAATCCACAGTATGGATTGTGACTTCTCTTCTAGTGGAAACCACTTTCTAAGTTGAATTATAACTGTTTACACATGCGTCTTATCTCTAGCTCTCTTACTTGCTCATTCCATTCTCATTTTAATTCTTTCTGTCCCCAGCACCTGTGTGTTGTCAATTTTTAAATCCATTTGTTCAATCATTTACTCATTCATTCAAAAATATTAATTGAGCACATATTCAGTCCCTGTTCTCATTGAACTCTCTCACAATCTAATGGGTGAGGTAGACTGTAATCAAGATGTGCTGTATAATAGGGAGGGAGGGAGATGACGTGCTGAGAGTACAGAATATTGAGATACGACCCAAGCAGGTTAGGGAAGACTTCCCTGAGGAGAGAAGAAGAGTGACTAGGAAACAGCTGGGCAAGCAGTGGGGAGGAATGTGTTCCAGGGAAAAAGGAATAGCACGTGCGAAGATCCTGCGGTAGGAGAAGCCATGGTATCTGCTGGAACACGAAAGAGCACAGTAGTGTGGCCAGGCAGGGAGGAGCAAGGGGGCAAGATAGGGCTGGAGAGAAAAGAAAGGATGAGTGATCAATTGGATGACTAATTAAATTCATGATTCAATGAATCAATGAGTGAATGAGAATATTCCCTGCCTCTTCACTGGGAATTATGTAGGAGCATTGGTTTGAAAGCCAAGCAAGTGGAGCTCCCGTCACCTTTCTACCACTAGCTCTTCTGTGGTATAGGATTAATCAGCCCCCTTTCTGAGCCTCAGCATGTTCATCTTTCATGATGATAGAGGAGGGTATGGTCATTGCTGTGATTTTTTTTGTTACTGTTTACTGTGGATGCTGCTTGTAAGGTTTACTATGGGAGGTGCTGATGGAAGTTTTAAGCTTCTACCAGATTTCATAAAAGCGAATGCCTCCAAAGGCTGTGCTGGTCCCACAAATGTATCTAGCCAGCCCGTTGTTAAACAGTGGGGTTGATGTGCTGCCTCACACTTGCCTTGCACCACACCCTGCCGGGTAAGGCCGCACATTCCAGATCCTGTTGGTCTGCAAGCCACCGGTCAGGGCACAGGCACTCTATGCAGTGACATATCTACTAAGGAATCGTCTGAGAATGAACTCCTTCAGTCAAAGCAAATACAAATTAAGGTAAATGAAATGTTGAAAGTCACAAGTCATGTGAATAGGAGGCTCTGCTGCCTTTGTACCTTAAGACAGAATGACCTTGGTCCCTGCCTGTGATGCAATCTTCCCAGAGTTCCCGTCCAGACACATGACTGGCCCTCAAGACAGCCATGCATTCTGCCCTTTGTCTCCAAAGGCCACTTTCTGACCCTTTCAGCCATTCACCAAACAATTAGCAGTGCTCCTGGTGTGCCACACCCTCTGCAAAGAACCCTTGGGAGAAGACTTGAACTTGGTTTTGCCTTCCAGGAGTTTCGAGTTCAGTGAGGGAGACAAACAAGTCTCCATCTACAATGGAATACAGCGTGCAAATGTCCTGTAGAAGCTCACTCATTCACTCACTCAGTCAGCCAACAAATATAGACGAGAGCCTCTCTCAGGCAAGGCACTGTTTTTGCTCTAACAGGAGCTTAATTTTCAAGTCCTATTTATATATACATGCATTATATGAAGCATTAGATGGTAAGATGGAGAAAAATTCAGCAGAGAAATAACATGGGAAGAGCTGAGAAAGAGGCCATGTTGTGATTTTGAACAGGATGGTCCGGGTAGTCTTTATTGATCAAATGACACGGGCCAACTTGGGAAGCCAGGGAGCCTGTGGATGATGTGTCTATATAATGGGGAGCAAAGTACTATATGACCTTTTGTCCAAGGATCTGCAGGAGGCAGGATATCTCTTTCCTCCGCTGATGTAGAAGGGACTAGAATGATGAGGGCTAAAGGTCTAGGATGCCAGCCTGGCTTTCCTCAGACCCATGACCCCTTGGTGTAATTGAATTAAGGAAAAGTCTCAGAGTGCCTCAACTACTTCCTAAGCCCCTACCTAACTGCATGTAGGTCTAACTGTCTGTACCATAAATTAATATATTCCTGTAGTAGACAGACTAAAGGTCCCCCAAAGATCTCCTCATCCTAAACTCCAGAACCTGTGAATATGTTTTATTCCATAGTAAAAAGAACTTTGCAAGTGTGATTGAGTTACGGGTCTTTATGGGGGCAATCATCCTCAGTTATTTAGGTGGGCCAGATATAATCACAGGGTCCGCATAAGAGGGAGGCAGGAGGGTCAGAATCCGAGGAGGAGAAGTCACGTCGGAAGCAAAAGTCAGTGTGGTGCAGGGCAACAAGCCAAGGAACTTGGGCGACCTCTGGAAACTGGGAAAAGAACGGAACTGATTCTCCCCTGCAGCTTCCAGAACAAACACTGTCCTGTCGACACCTTGATCTTAGCCCCAGAGACCCATTTCCAACTTCTGACTGCCAGAAAGGTAAGATAGCACATTTGAGTTATTTTATGCTGCTTAATTTGTGCTAATTTGTTACAGTAGCAAAAAGAAATTAAAACAATTACCAGATTATTTTGTTTGATAAAAATACACATAGCAGTTTACAGAACTCTGGGTCTCTTTACAGATGACAATTCATCATTGAATCCCCAAAAGCAGGCATCAAGGTAGGTACTATTAGTTTCCTCATCTTGTCGATGAGGTCATTTAAGCACAGAGAGTTTAGGCAATCTGACTAAGGTCACACAGCTCTTAGTGGTGTGGCCAGGATGTAAACCCAGGTTGTCTGACTCCAAGGATAATGTGTACCTGCTCCCATTGATTTTCTTACACTGACCTTTGCGAGCTCAACAAGAGCCTTTGCCTTTCTCAGGCCTGGACAATCACCGGTGCTGTCTCCACAGGGGTATTCCTTCTCCCATACTGCTGGGCCCATGGACAGCCTCTCAAGCCACCTTGTGACTTATCCACAGAAATTTTGTCTCCTTTAAAGAAACCAAGCATCACCAAATCGATATTGAAACAAATATCTGGTTTCCATTTCTAAGGGAAAACACAGAAGTAAAGAGGTCATTGATCTTTCTTTTTTTTTTCAATTTTATAATGTAACCCAATATTTTTACAGAGATACAATTCACATATCCTTAAATTCACCCTTTAAAAATGTACAATTCAATGGTTTTAGTATATTCACAAGGTTGTGCAGCCATCACCACCATCTAATTTCAGAGAATCTTCATCACACTCCAAAAGGATATCCTGTCCCCATTAAGTAGTAACTCCCCATGATCCCCTTCCCCCAGCCCCCGAACCACGAATTTACTTTATGAATTTGCCTGTTCTGGCATTCCATATAAATGGAATCAGACAGAATGGTGCAGCCACATCAGGTTTTTCTACTGTCCCAAGTGAGCCTGCCTTGTTAGGTTGTCCACCACAAATCTAATATTCACCATTTCTTCCTTCATCCTCCATTCCATTGTCAGTTTGCCATTATTTTGTGGCTCCATTTGTGTGGGCGTGTTTGTAAGCTGCTGCAAACCCTTTTGAGAATTGGGCAGTGCGAGAATACATAAAAACATTGATTCTCAAATCAACCAGTAACGAAACTGAATCTTACAAAATGTGGCTTTTGTGTCTGGCTGATTTCACTTCCTATCATGTTTTCAAGGTTCTTCCATGTGGCAGCATTAATCAGGGCATCATTCCTTTTTAAAACTGAGTAATATTCCATCATGGGCTATAACATGAATGTGTTTATCCATTCACCATTTGGATTGTTTCCACCTTTTGCCCTTTGGGAATAATGCTGCTATGAACATTTATGTGATCCGTTTTATTGTACCTAATTGGAAGGGATTCCAGACAGGATCCAGTGGCTTCCAGAGAGCTCTGCTGGCATAAAGGCCTGTGAGCAAGTTGCTCTTCTTACAGTCCAAGTCTCTGCGGTGAGATGTCGACACCCCTTTGGAATGTACCCCAGGGTCCAAGAAGGAGCAGTGGGTTCATGTGCAGAGAGTACATTGTTCTTTCCCGAAGGGGAAGTGGGAGAAGATTCTCCGTCTATAAAACAAAGGGCTTCATGAAATGAAGAACCTTAAAAACTTGCAGAGGGAACCACTCCACGGAGCCGAGTCTCAGGCTAATCTCTCTTTCATGGTTATTTTTGATGCTAGACCCACTGAAATGCATTATGCTACATTGATATGTGGGGTATACAGTTTATATGGACTGCACACATTAAGCAAGATACATACATATTTTAAATGTAATAGGATATGTCATTATGACTTTTTTTTGTTTTCAGCATTCACTTTGAATAAAATTTTAAAATACCTCTTGGTGGGGGGTTGGGGACAAGTAAAAACAGTTATGTCCAAAAGCTCTAGTAATCAAAGGCTTTGGGTACATGCTTTTGTCAATAATTTTAAGAGCTATTACAAATAAGAAGAAAGGACTTGTGTTATGTGGTCACAAAGAGCTCTTCCAAGTTCCCATCTACACCAACCCTGACTTCTTGCAGCCTCTGTAGAGGCATGTACCCCATGCCTTAACGTGAAGACACGAGTCTCAGGCTGTGATCTCACCTCCTTTGTCCAAGCACATCCCAAAGAACATGTCACCCAGCGGCGTTTCCAGTGGCAGCAACACAATAATACGCATTTCAGTAACACATGGAATAAACGTTATTTTCATTCCAAATGCAGTGGTGGGAATCAGAGAAACAATGGCCTTTTCCTGCCCAATGATACAAGTTAAAAATATTGCCTGCTTCTTTGCTAACTCCCATCTTAGCCCCGCACATTTAAAAATACACCCGTCAGTGGCTCTGCATTTGAAAATGTATTTTGCATCTGATAATTACGATGCATTTAAAGGGCAAAATTAGAAAGCACAAAATTAGGCTGCCAGGCTTAATTAGCCCATTCTTTTTTCTAATGGGTGGAATTCGGGCAACCGTAGGCTTGAGGGGCACAAAGACCCCTAATAGGGGTAGTGGAAATTCACCCACATCTCTGTAAACTCAGTCTCTTGGCGAACCAGATCAGGGGGATTAACTGCACAACAAGAAATGTGAGAGACACAAAACAAGACAATTACACACTCTTGTCCCCAAGAAAACGATGTGAGTGCAATTACAGAGTAATCTATCAACAGATAACAGAGGACCATGCACGTGGCCTCCCAGAGGCCTGATGTAATCACAGTGGCATTATGGGTTTATATGTAGAGATGAACTCCGCAGCTTGACGTGACACATTTTCCAGGATAATTATCACCCATATCTGCCTGCATGCGAAGACCCACTTCCCTCACCAGCTCTGACCTTGCTAAATGATTATTGAAATGCCTTACTGTGCACACTGTAACTGGCCACTGCTCCCAAGGACCATAAGCTCTTCACGAAGGGGTGCACTGAACTGGCCGGGATAGGACTGGAAACTTCCAAGTGCCTTCCAAGGCTGTCCACTGTATTCTCTGAAATCTGATTCCGCGTCCCTGATGAAGTTATCTTGATGGCTGGCTGCGTGGAACTCATCCTGTACCCAGCCAGGTGGATCCGTCCCCAGCATTCAAGGGGAAAGTTCTGTCTTTTCAAGTTGCCATGGTCCTTCGCAAGCCACGACAGGCCATGGGAAGCCGAGTTGAGGCGCCGTGATCCCAGGTATGAGTCACCCTGATGAATCAGCCGTGTCCCTACTATTTTTTTCAAGCTGTGGTTTTCTTTATAACAGAGACTGTGTTGTTCATTTCGCAGCCAGATCTAGAAAGCTGCTGTATGCTGAGAAAGGAGGCCTACTGTACTATGTCCACTAGATGGAACTTAGAAAGGCCCGCCCCTGCTGCAGGCCGCAAGGAATGCTCTGAAACAATCCATGGCACAGCTGCAGAGCTATGGAAGGGGCCTGAACCCTGACTCTCAGTACCGGGGTGGTCTCTGGCAAGACACTGCACCTCTCTGAGGTGAAACCCCCAACTTGTAGAGTTATAAAAATTCATTCATTTAAGAAAGTTGCTTTCAACGAGGAGCCATTATGCACCACCACCCCCCAAGGGTACCATTTGGCCATGTTTGGGGACATATTTGTTTGTCACAAGTGCTTTCCTTACCATTCTTTGTTGTTGTTGTTGTTGTTGTTTTGAGATAGAGTCTTGCTCTATCACCAAGGCTGGAGTGCAGCAGCACGATCTTGGCTCGCTGCAACCTCCACCTCCTGGATTCAAGCAATTCTCCTACCTCAGCCTCCCAAGTAGCTGGGACTACAGGCTCATACCACCATGCCTGGCTAATTTTTGTATTTTTAGTAGAGACAGGGTTTCATAATGTTGGTCAGACTGGTCTCAAACTCCTGACCTCATGATCTACCAACCTTGGCCTCCCATAGTGCTAGGATTACAGATGTGAGCCACCACGCCTGGCCTTCTTTACCATTCTTTACGTGGCATTTGGTATTATAGAAAAATATGCACTTTAGTGTGACTCCCTTAAGTCACTAAACAGTTGGTTAAGATTCAGACCTTCATTTTTGTTTCAACATCTTTATACAAAATGTGTATGACCTCAAATTATATAGACCAAGATGTAGGGGAAAGGAGGCAAGTAAACCATGGCCCGCTAGAGTCACTATGTCAGTGTTATATTTTTTAACCTGGTTAATGTCTCTTCATGACAATTTTTAGCTATTTCCTTCCAAAGAGCCAAAACAGGAGAAATACAAGAATAGGTTGCTAGAAAAGGTATAATATATTTCAGCTTCTGAAACTTAGTAATTGGAATTTTCCCAGTTCTGAGCAGAATTGCTTTACCCAGAGTCCAGTCTGATGATAAAATGGTGGCCTCAACCATGATTCCAGAGAGAGAGAGAGAGAAACATTCAGGAGCTGCACACAGACAGCTTGCAGATCCTCAGAAGAATGAGAAACCTAGGGAAGGTTTGGGTAGGAATCTCCCCGGGCCTCTTAACTCGGTGCAGAGGCACCTTCCCTCTACAGCAAACACAGCTCCCTTACCCCTTGTATCTGCAACACCTAAATCCACAGCGGACAGAACAAAGAGCATTGCGATTGTCAGGAAGGAAGAAAGAAGTTCTACAAAACCCCAGCATGGGATAAACAGAGCCCAGGCAATGCTTAAAGTTTCCCACATGCCAGGTTCTTAGGGCTCTTGATTGACCATTCAAGGGAACACAGCTGTTATGGAGGAGGGGGAGGCAAGGTAGACCCTGAAGGAGGAGGACGAGGACTGTTTGCAGACTAGACTATTCAATTGACTTGGAAAGAATTCCCCTCATGCCTCCCTGCATAAAATAGTTGTCTATTTCAGATGGATTACTGCAGACTCCCAGATACAGCCCTTAAGTGCTGTTTACACAGTGAGCTAATTGCGGTAATGGAACCCACCCCTCCTTGTCCCTCAGCTTCAGGCCAGTTTCCCTCATGAGCTTCCATAGTAGCAGCCCTATTTGTGGATCTTTCTCTCAGCCCCATACTAGGAGCCTAAGTGGGAAATATGTAATTATTCACTTTATAGCTATTGATGCCTCCAATGCTGACTGGCCATCACCACCCAGGGCTTTCAGGCAGCAGGGATGACAATCAAGCAGAGGGGGTCTGTCTGGAATCAGACTGACCTTCTTTCAGGACAGGGCCTGGGGCTCACCGTCAC